GTGGTTTGTCAGCACTTTCAGTAGTGAACCTGCATGACAATCACACAGTTCAAAATTCCTCCTGCTTACATCAGTATAATTTGAAGAATAACTTCACCACAAAGCTGAAATGATTTCAATGTGCGTTTTAAACAGAGTAGCCTGGGGGCTTCATTGGGCAAAGCAGGTCTTTATGTCTTTATGCAAATCTGTAATGGACTGACACTGGGATGCTCAGTTCTTTGATGAATAGAAGACGACTTACATATACATTCTTTATTGATTAATATAGAACTCAGTTAATGAACTTATTAATATTTGTCACCACAAATACTACATATTTGGTGATTGTATGAATAATATGTATTATAATTTAATCTCTAATAATAATAATGACAATGAAAACTAGATTTACAGAGCAAATATATGGGGTGCACACCCCAAGCGGGCCAGAACCCATAAGGTTCTACTACTACTACTACTACTACTACTACTAATAATAATAATAATAATAATAATAACAATACTGGAAGAAAGCTAAAATAAGAGTCGCCTTTTAAGCTCTAGAGCTCCAAGTGTCTAGTGCTCATTTTCATGTACAAAATACAGTATATTCTGTGCCACAAAAAGCATTTAATGACAACATCAGGTAATGCCTCGCTACATTTTGTCCGTAGAAAGGCAAACTCCAGCTACATTTTGCCCACAAAAGCATAAACACCTCACTTCCATTCGTGCACAGGAATCAAAAGGAATGAGACTGCAACTCCAGGGCTTGAACACTCCCACTGTGCTTTCACAGACCAATCAATGCCCGATATAATTTGCATACTGGAATCCTTCAAATATTCAATCTTGCAATCTATCTTTCAATCTATCTTGCAATTAATCCTTCAATTAATCTTACAAAATAGCATTCATTAAATGTGTTAGTAAATAATGAAATATACATTGAAATAAGTTTTGCAATAATAAATTGAATTATTTATGGACATATTTAATTATTGATGTATTTATTGGACAATACGCTGATGCATGTAGAGATATGTCACAAAAAATCCTCCATATTTTCATTCTTATCTTTTTACCTTTTGTCTGAGCAAGCACTATTAGTATATTCTTATGTGCATTTAACTGCTGGATCTTCTCTCTCCCTCATTTCCCTCCTGTGTGTATAAAGAGCTCACCAGGATGTCCAGCGCCACCCACTCTGTCTGGGGGGAGGGCTATGAGAGCCAGGCATCATGTCATATCCTTCTCCTGGCTCACGTTATTAAATGCCCCAATACCCCTCCCTCACATCAACAGAATGACTCCATACATAATTAAACCCAAAATAAACATTTCCTGTTTTGTCATAAAATGGTCAAATAGAAATGAATGTTTATCAATCACCCCCAACATCTGTATTAAACACAGTAATGTAGTAATGGACAAAATGATGCTTCATGAACCATTTACTGTATTTCTGACCCCACTAGATGGTGCTCTAGGTTTGCTTTGGGCATGCTTTGTGGCATTTTTTTAAACATAGAGCACCATCTAGTGGGGTCCAAAGAAACAGTAAATGGTTCATGAAGTGTCATTTTGTCCATCACTACAGTAATGCAAATTTATTTAAATACTGTTTCGGGGGTTGATGATCTGCAAAACTATGAAGTCATTACTGACAGAAAGTTGTACTTTTGTGACTGCGAGATTTTAATAGCTAATTCCAATGTGCTGCAAGTTCTCAGCCAGAATGACCTCAGTCATGACCTCATCATCTATGACCTGAGCTCATTGGTGTACTGCAACTAAGCCAGTTCTTAAGCTGGCCTTCCTTTCTGATTAGCAATATCAGCATTGTTATTTGCATAGATTTGTCTGATTCTGAAATCCTGGATTTTTAATCATCATGGGTTAGCTTTTCAGAGCACATTCCTTTATCATGTTGGCTAATATAAAGCAGCTCCACTAGTTTGCTTAAAACTATCATCTATGGATATCTGGTGGTGCTGTTTTATTACTCAGTTGCTGTTAGAGCTCACCATTTTCCTCTGAACTTTTCACAATACGTAGCAATATGTCATATTCACAGTCTAGTTTATATTGCCAAAATGTCCAATATACAGAAATGATCCTTTATCTGAGCAGTGTTTATACTCTTCAGAATACCGACAGTATGCTGACACTAAAGCCAAAGCTATTCATGTGTGGAAGCATAACACCACAGCATCACTGTGTCACTGTCACAATTATGCTGGAATCGAAGATTTTAGTAGCAGCTCTCTGTCATTATAATAGCAGAATTAGTGAGCCAGGAAAAAATACTAATCATTACTATTAATAAGCATATCTTTTTGAGGATGTTAAGGGATTTAAATTGAATGATATACTGTATACCTACATTTCAGAAATGCTACCATGGAATAAGTATTAACCCAAGTGCTTGCAAAGTAATAGGAGAAATGATATAGTTCAGCTTAATACTTGGAAGTTAATTTATTTGCCATGAATTAAGTTTATGATATTGAATGAAATGTGTGACCATGCCCCAGTCAGTGAAAGTGTGTTCCCTACCCCTAGTCCCCAGAAGGTTAAAGCTTACAATAAGTTACTCAAACTTCCATAATTGATGCAACATTGTAGCGCTTAGTAGGACCTAGCAGAAGTCTTTAACATTTTCTCATGGAAAGCTAAGTTAAGTAAATTCCTTATTAGATTTGTAGTACAGTCGTCCCTCGCCACTTCGCGCTTTCACGGCTTCACTCTATCGCGGTTTTTTGTATATTCATGAAAAAGTTGATCGAGACTTGAAAATGATACATCGCTACACATCTGAAGCATCTTTGCTCTTCGTAATTAAATATACAGTAATAATTAACAATATGATATCTATAACATCTAATATTTCTAATTTTCTATTCTTTTTTCTAATATATTGGGTAATATGAGTGTAATTGTCATGACCTGCCTGTACAATCCTCTTGGGTGCCACGCCCCCTTATTAACCACATGTGCTACCCCGATTGTGACCAGCTGTTTTCTGTCAGTTTGTCCGGTGTATTTAAGTCCACGTCAGAGTCTGTAGCCCCTGGTCTGTCATTGATGTTTTGATGTTATATGTTCCTGTGTCCTGCATTTGGAGTGATTCCAAATAAACCCTTCGACCCTGATTCCTCGTCTCCCCGCTCCTGCTACCGTGTCCAACAATCATAAAGTAATGGTGACTAAAGGCTGTTATTTCATGTCTAGAGTGCTCTAATAATGTTAAAAACTGTATGTAGAAGGTTGTAAACAGGTTTCCTATGCTCTAACTACGAAAATATTCGATTTATAAATAAAGAATCCTACTTTGTGGAAATTCACTTATCGCGGTTGAGTCTGGAACTGATTAACTGCGATAAACGAGGGCCGACTGTATTAGCATTCCATGTCTGCTGAATTGTTCTGTAAACATTCAGCGGGTGTCACAATGCAGTAACGTTCACTCATAATTCACTGCTGCACATTCTTAGTTACACAGTATGAATCTCGGAATAAATATCAGACATTGTTTTGCCTTGTAAGTGATAAAAAATCATTTCATCAGTTCACCAAATATTTTTCTTGTATTCAGTGACTCTTCATCTGGTTTCATATTTCACAAAGTATAAGTCCAAATATTTCATGAAATGCAGACACAAAATTATTTTGTGAGTTTGACCCCATGACCTCATACTCATTCTCTTGTGCCTCTATATCCCAATCTTGCTTCATGTCCAACAAGAAGGACAGGGGTACATTTAGTAAACTTTCAGGAAATAATAAAATCTGGTTGGAAAAACTACACTCATATATTAGAAGAAAATGCTCCACTGTTTACTTACTGAATGTGGCTAAAAATGTTCCTTGCGAAACTTATATCTCCATGTCAGCAAATAAGATAGAACTGCCCTTGTAAGGACATCACTTGACCATTTTTCAAAAATAGTGTCATGACCTGTGCGTCCAGTCCTCATGTATGCCATGCCCTCCTAATTAACCCCGTGTCAATTCCCATCGTATCAGCTGCCTTGCATTTATTCTGAGGTCATGTCCTGTATTTAGTCCACATTCAAGTCTGTTTCCCTAGGTCTGTCATTGACGTTTGTGGAAGTCTGTGCCCTGTCTGTCCGTCTGCCCTCAATAAATCCCTTTGCCTTGGATTTACGGCTCCCGGACTCTGCTTCACTGCGCCCTGCTCGTTCGCCCTTCTCCCGATTTCCAACAAATAGTAGCCTCATCATCATTATCCATGACTAACTCCTTGAAATTTTGCAGTAATCCCCTAGGAAACCTGAGTGCATCAGGGTGTAATAGCAAACAATATCCCATTGGGGACACCAAGCAACAAGAAACTAAAGAGAATACAGCTGACAAATGTATCTGGACACACCTTTCCCTCTCTTGCTAATGGCAGGCTATAGTATAGATGCACCTTCAGGTAGACATATACTACACTGTACATGTCCCAGTGAGACAAGCAGTGCTGATATAGCTCTTGACGCATTTATTTTCCGAAAGAGATTAAGTCATGATGTCCATATAAGGAATATAAGAAAGATCACAGGCTGTAATTTCATCATACTGAACTTTAAACACATGGGACCAGGAAAAACAAACACAAAAACACATGTACTGTGATAATTTCGCAGGTATGTAATCTGTGGTAATAAAACTCCAGTTTATGTGTATTGATGTAAAAGCATATTTAGCTAGTCCAACCTAAAATAATAGTTAAAATCCAGTTTTAAATTTTGCGTACAAGAAAGAGTAACGCCAAGAAAAAATTAAAATGCTTTACATAGAAAAACAAGGATTTTGTTCTTCACTTTGCATATAGTTAAATAATTTCATGTAGTTACGAAGCAGACAAAATAGTTTTGAAACTACAGAGAATAGTCTACAGGTTCACAGGTGCATAATATCCCTGGATAACTTTCGTCGGAATGACAAAGTGAGATGGATGTGACTTTTGCTGACGGAGCTGGGAGCTCTGCGTCTCCGTGGTTACTCACATGGCTTGAGCTCGTGGTGGAGGTCAGAGCCTGTGGAGGTCGTCATAGCTCCTTGTCCCGATTCAGACTAGCTGTACTGTGTGGGGGTTCTGGGACTCTTGGGCTCTTCCCCCTCCTCTCCAGGTCAGAGTAGGACAGGGATCCAGAGCGGAGGCACGGCTGGAGACGCCCTGCAGATGCTTGCGCCCCCTTTCACAAGCCTGCCTGTCCTGCTGCTGATCATGACCTACTGCAACAGAAGGAGATTTTGAGGGGAGGGGCTCCAGCTCTGTGGCCTGTACCAAGTGCAGCCTTGCACGGGGAGGAACTTTGGGGGGGGGGGGGGTTAGAAGTTCATAAATAGCAATGACCAGTGGGTCAAATGTTCTACTCTCTGCAGCACAGCGGAAGCAGTTTGCATAGAGTTCATGCCTATACAGCTGTACACATGGGTTACATCAAACCTATGAACACTGTGTGTAACAGTGTGGCTATTCATATAAACTGCCCATTCAATGTGACTTTCTCACAGTAGTCATTAAGCAAGAAGCACAGAGACAATAATCTGTTTTGTGTGCCTGTTCCTGCCAAAAGAAACACTATTTGAATTGTTTGTTTAAGGCACAAAGTTACCCAAATCATCATCCAAGCAAAAAGTGATTGGCCCCATAATTGTAATCACTGGCTTCAGCACCTTTTGTAGCAATAACTGACTAATGCTTCCTTTGATTTGATATCAGTTTTTCACTGACTGCAGCACCACTTAAATTTCGATGTATGGTTAGGACTCATTTGAAGTCCTGCCACAGCATCGCTATGGGGTTCAACTTTAATCTTATTTCGTTCACCCATTCAGATGAACTTTCTGTGTGCTCTAGGTCACCATCTTTCAAAGTACCACACACCCAAAAACTCTCAGTCGGGTGAATTGGTGACTGTTAATTGTCTATTGTTTACACCCTATGACAGACCGGCATTCCGTCTTCTGCCCTGGGATTCCTGGGAACAGGCCCTAGGCTGACCACACCCTTGTACTGGGTAACAGAGTTTGAAGGCGGATGGAATTTAAACACATTAAATCAACAGCAAGACCAGAGTGCTTCTTTTAACAATACATAGGGGACAAGGTACAACTCAATTATACCTCATGTGGTATTATCTTTGTGTGATCGTATCAGTCTATCAGTAATATAAACAAAGTAGTCTATTATTAAAAAGTGAATCAATACCCCATAATGGTGTTGTTTATGTGGAACACCAAGACTCTGATTTGATTCACACAATGACACAATGCAGGCTGTAGAATGAGGCTTCCCTACCATATCTGGCTTTCCTACTTCACACAGTGTGCAGTAAAAGCGTGCCATTATCACCCACACACAGATACAATGAGAAATTAAGTAAGCATCAGCTATTTTAACTATTGCGATTCTGTTTTGCCTTCACATTTTACTTTGGCTGATTGCTACCATCTAGTGTCACATCTAATTAACACTACTATAGTGTTCTATCAAAAGTAAACAGAGCCAGAAAGTAACTCAACATTTCACACCCTGGTAGCACAATGAAAAATTATGTAAACTTTTTACAACTGCCTTCCCTGCAAACACTTTATTTACAGTAGACCTTAATCTCCACAACATTGTTAAAACATGAAATATATTCATTATTTATAATTATACCTGACCTGCGTGTTTAGTTATTTTGTTCTTTTATATTCAAGTTCCATACAACTCACATGTTTGCCAAAATTCAAATGTTAATTTCTATGGAAAGTCTGTGATATTCTGTGACTTTAAGAAACAAAAGGGGGATTGTGTAAGTCAGCGGTTGTAAAGGTTGTCAAAGCTGCCATTGCCGCCTTAATATTAATGCATGGGATGTTAGTACCACTGACATTTCTGCCCTAATCCTGTGCTACCTTCCGAACTGTCAAATAAACACAGGACACAGAGTTTCAGAAAGTAACAGCTGACTGCCTGTGTGTGTTAGCTTAGCCATTTCAGAACCTCTCCAAATATCTCCCCAGTATTTGTAGTAACTATCAAATACACCAAATACAAACTCAACCGCTAATATACCATGTTTAGCTAATCAATACTTCTTCAAATTATTAATTAGTTAATTAATCTGGTAGTGAAATGAATGGCTGGGGTGGCCCTGAGGAGAGGTTTGGGAACCAAGGCAGCGTTTTTCTAGCTATCCATCAAGATATCAAGAAGTAGCTGGAGAACAGAAGAAATTCTTGTTAGTCTTTATTGTATTAATGTTTCTTTTCCTTAGTTCTAATGTCAAATATACACTTACTACCCAGATAAATAGCTTTAAATATTTTCTTTTCCAAAGACATTTGCGTAGCACTCTATATATACATATGAATGATGCGTCTGTATCACTTTATGTACATTCATCACTACCAGCTTCCTGTCTGAAAGTGCACACTGTCTGTACTCTAAGTAGTCACACACGCGCATGGGCTCCAGTACCTTCATGTTGCTGTCCAGGCTGCTGACAGCACAATCAGATTTTCCTCAGACATTCACAGGGGACAGAGGGTTCTAATTTTAACGAGACAAACATGTCACACACATTAACCTTCCCTTTTTTTGCTCATTTATTGCTGAGGTGTGAGTATGTGTCTTCTTGTGGTCGAAAATGGGTCATTACGTTGGTGTCGTGTGGAGGCGTGTATCTGTACTTTTCCGTATTGAGAACATTCAGAACAAGCATGTTGGTGATAGCTGTGATTCTATCTATCTATCTATCTATCTATCTATCTATCTATCTATCTATCTATCTATCTATCTATCTATCTATCTATCTATCATCTATCTATCTATCTATCTATCTATCTATCATCTATCTATCTATCTATCTATCATCTATCTATCTATCTATGTTGTACGAGCTACTTTTATTACTGTTATTTCCATTTAAATGAGTTTACCATTTTTATACCTATAATTCAGTAAAGTTCAGTGAAATCTTTGTTCAAATTCATCCATGTAATAACTCTGTATTATGTGTAACATCTGTATATGTTTCTAGTATGATAAAATTACAATTAAAAATACCCTAGCTGTCATACTTAGTACACGGTAATTTGAAAAATATTCAGAAATGATTTCATTGTCTTGAGCCTTTGATATTACACAGAGTGAAACAGCATTGGGGGAAATACCCAGCTCTTTGTTTTTATTTTGTCTTCTATTACTATTTTAGAAGGACGGAAGTGATGAACAGCCTGGATAAGATTCCCCTACACACACCTCCGGCGGCAGGGAAGAGTGAGCTTCACCAAACAGACAATCCTAAAGTTCTGATCAAGGACATTTCTTCAACATTTCATTGACTGAGCAAGAAGAGTAAGATCTGACCATAGTATATGTAACATTTTCAAAGCCCCTGGGAACGTAAGAACATCTGGAAAAATCTATGGTGAAAATTACTCTTAGTCCACAGTTCAGAATGAAATGTAAAAAAATAATTAAAAACATCACAGAATGGAACCAAAGATGCTCTCAATTTATGTAAAGAAGACACACAAATCTGGTGTGTCTTCGTGCATTAGTTCTGTCTTTTAACGTAGAACTTAGGAACGACGTAGCATTAAGAACGCTGGTATTTCACAGACATATTCCTCTGAAGGGGGTGACTGCCCTGTAATTTTATCCCAGTAGCTGTTGGTGTGGAAGTTAAGTACATGTTCTTGTTTTTCATTCTATCCTTTTATACCTCTATTCTCTGAGGCAATTCATGATAAATGGGATATTTAAAGCGTCCAGCAGGAGGCCCCTGCAGAGATCTGCCTTTGAATATCACACACTATAGAACATGTGTCATGTAACAGCTCTATTTTTTGCAACAGTCTTGTGCTGTTTCTTTTTTCCTCTCACTGTATTTGTGGTTTTCTCCAAGTCCTTGATTGCGCCATCCTCTACTGTCAGAACTAGGCACTGTGTTACACGACTTCACAAACCTTGGCAAAATTTGAATAGATGAATGTATTAACTTTCACTCAACTATAACTTTAATACAAACTTCCATTGATTTTCCTGGGGTGCTATCTAGTTCAGGGTCAATTTGCAGTCTATTCTAAGAAGCACAGGACCCAAGATGAGGAATACCCTGACCTGGATGACAGTCATCCTATGTCACACACTCATGGAAACATCATTCAGAGCTGCCAGCTCACATCTGTGCATGCTTTTGGACTGTGGAAGGAAATTTTAAGACCAGGAGGAACTCCACAAGCACAGAGGTAGGAACTGGGACCCACAACCCGGGACATCTACAGCTACTCTGCTTATCCCTGAACCGCAATGTCACCGCCAAAACTAAAAATACCACTAAAATAATGTAGCTATTAGGGAAACATGCTGTGCATTGTAACACTTTACTCAAGACTCTCTGCAAAGGGTTTCCTTTAAAGGCACAGTAAAAACATGATCCACTGAGGAATGAAAACAAAGGCTGAGATCACATAGATAAAACTGAAATTTATATGACCAGTTTCTAAAGCATATAAAGCATAAAAACATTTTCAATTTATTTAAGATAAAACTCCTAAGACAAGAGACTGCAGGTTCCGTTAAAGCACTGAAAATGTTTGATACTTCCGCTTAGACTTTGATGAGTAATTTCAAGAGTATTAGTCAGAACCAAACCAGTTAAATGTGTTTTGTGACCCTTTTATACCGTTTTCTTTCAACCTCTTCCAACATCTCAAAACAACTATCCTGAGGTTTCAGATTTTTAAAATTCCTTTTAATAAACATTATATAAAATGGGAGCAGTTAGTATTGTGAGGAAAAAAAGCTTTGATTTCCATGAAATGAATGATAAGAAGAAAAAAATGCAACACTAGAATATTGGTGCATTTCTAAAAATACGATCAATTCTTTTGCTTTCAGGTGAGCTTTAGCTAAACCACCTGTGAAGACCTGAAGAATTCTTTTGAAAGGCAGTAGGGCAGGTGTGTGGGGAAGAAACATTACCGCACAGCCACAAACACAGCAGATTCATACTCACGCTCCTTTTATGCTCGTAGAATCTTTAGTGTTTCTGCTGTAAATTATGAGGTATGTATAAATGCCAGAAGGGCCCACTCTCTCTGGGGAGTCACACGATGAAATCCAGCCAGCGCTGCTCTGCATGTTACACATGGAGAGGGGGAGAGTTAGTCTCACAAACACCCTTTTGTTTGGGCAATGTAAATAGACCCTTCTGGAAGACAGAATATAAGAAAGAGCTGAGAAAAGCACCTGCTTCTCATTTCCTCCTTTTCTTGCTCCCATCTTTGCTTTGAACAAACATAGCAAACGCCACCTGCGGCGTTTTGACTTTCTTATCTCATCATAATGTTTGCACATGATCTGAGGTTTTATCCTGGAGAAGCAGAAGAGGCTAATCAATCTGACAGCTCTCAAACCTGCCGCTTCCAGATGCTGGTTAATACCTGAAGAACAGCATGCATTTTTTGGGCTACGCCACACAGATGCATTTATTTAGATGCGTCATACGTCCTATTAAGTGATTTTTAAGTTTGGGCGAGGTTGTTTCTCTGACTATCCCTGTTCTCTGTGCAGCGTTCACCCTCATGTTTCGAGGGTGGCAATAACCATTGTTGTTGATATATGTACCAAGTTCTGGAATTATGTGCCACTTAAGTCCACTCACAGTGTGGCAGATGACCTTCACGACGACGTCTGTGAAACTAAAGGACAAAATCATCTTTTGTTTCATGGACCATGAGGGCCACAGGTTCCCCTATGAGGCAGTGCTGTTATTCTTCTGCATCGAGCTGCCATGCCTGCCTGTTTCCACACTGTAAGACAAGTGAAACCCTTCTTGGTGGGAACAACCTCTGAGGAAGAGAGAGGGACGTTCTACTCTGTGCTGAGGTTCCCTTTTCCAGGATGGAGATGAAAACATGGAGGATTGTACTACCTGCCATTGTCTGTCATGAAAGGACCTTTTATACAAGTTTACAAGGCGACGCTTAAAATTCACAAGTATTATTATTATTTTCTTTGACGGTGACATGATAAACCAGCCAACCCAAACAATAATGTACCTTCAAATACCTTAACGGTTGTGTCACGAATAAATAAACCTATAAAAAGATTGCATTGGAATATAAAATGGTATCTGATTCCAGTAGCTGCAGACACACACATACACACACACAAACTCACACCAAGCTGTGACACATAAACCCACCCACGCAAGATACACTAATATTCTTATGCACAATATAAATGAGCATACATACATATACATGCATGTACACATGCAATGCCCGCAAACTGCTGCATCATCTCATTCTTGTGTAGTTCATTTTTGTTATGTAATGGTACTTCATAATTTAAAGTACAAAACATTTACATATGCATCCATATACATATAAGTCAAAGGCACATAATTTATATGCAGCTAAATATGAAATAATTAAAATGATTATAAGAAGCAGTTTGATAAGAAGCATGACTTTTAAGTTTATAGTTCCGATTTCTGGTGTCTCTGGAAAATGACTTTTTTTTTTTCTTAAAAGTAATTTGCCTTTTTAACCGCCTCAATCTGAGTCAGCAAGTCATGTTTCCAGTGCTAAATGAGCTGTTTGTTTGGAGGTGCTGTCTGGTTACACCTTAATCTATTGGCTTTCCATACATGGCAGAACTGAATTGGAGCCATATGCGTTTGATCAGAAAATAAACAGCAACATATTCTCGCATAAATATCTTGCTGTTTTTGTTTTTCTATTTTTCATTTTTTAATCACTATGTCATACAGTCATACAAAATGTCTTAATATTCCTTAATATTGTTTTATTTAGCTTTGAATTGACATAAAGGCCTTTTTCATCTTAATGATATATACATGTTTTATTATGTTTGGACAATGCAAGTCTCCCAGCAACAAGGGAGATGTGAGTAATGATGATGTCATAATTTAGTCTGTCATCAAGCTTTTCTATTTCTTGTCCCTGCAATAAATTTACTCTAAAGTACTTATATGTGAACCTGTCTCTTAAACTGTGACCGTTAAGTGAAATAAACATAATCAAATACAGCCCTGGTCCAGTCTCTGGTGTTTCGATGACATTTACAAAGTGACATTGACATCCCCGCTGCTGTGTCCTTTATGCTGCAGGGGAGGTGTGGTTGAAACTGAGACTGCCAGCCAAGATGTGGCCAAGTCTTGATATGAGCATGAGCCAATATTTTCTCTACACTGTGGAAATTTGTTCTAAAAACTAGAAGCAACTCATAATAGTACCATAAGGAACAGAGTCAGTGCTTCGTGTCCCTGACAAATCAAAATTCTATGCTATAACTTCACATTACACAAGCGATTGCCATTCCAGTGCCAGCAACAATTACAGGGTACTTATTTTGGAAAATGATTTTAAACATTTTGGAAAATATGTACACCGTGATTGTTGTAAGTAGGGCAGTCTATGTTAACCATTGCAAGAAAGATCAGGTTGTTAAAGATCAGGTCATTAACATAAAGCATTTCTTCACTATTAAAAATGTTAAAACCATATAAAATATTAAAATACGAGGGGTTCTCTTTACAAAACTGCAACATGAAAATGAAAATCAGACATTTTGTATTTGTAATGTTATTTTTTAAATGTTCTTGTACATTTAAGAATTTTGTGTTTAAGAATAGATGAATACATCCTGTATACTGAGATGTGATTTGCTAAAACATTTTAATAACCTAATTATCAGACATAAGCAAAACAGTTTTTTGGCGAGTGATGGTTTTGATTGATCCAAGCAACCAAAGTATTAACAAAATCATTACTTTTTTAACAAAAGGAAAGTCTGAGAATGTTATCATTCATTTCCATCATGTGATCCTCAAAAGCAATATTATGCTTAGTACTACTGTTTTTGCATTTCTAAAGCACTCCCACATGGTACACGTTTTAGTTAGTTTCTTTTGTATAGTGCTAAAATGAAGATAAATATCATAAGTATGGAGAAGTCAGAATGAGTCACAAAAGGAATCTATGTTTCCACAAAATAGCTGACAAAATTGAAAAAAGCTGTGGTTTTATTTGATATTGTTTTTGTCAAGACACATTTCAAATGAGATTTTAAAAAAACTAACACGTTGAGTCTTGCAGTTGGCTCAGTTACACTCCCATATTGTGCTACTATAAGAAATTCACCTACAGTCATAGAAATGTTGCCAACCCTGTACAGAATGATCGTTTGTGTATCTCCAGCTTTCCCCCCATTACATCGTGGATCAGATCATCACCACAGCACGGATTTGTTACTTACCTCCAAATCATCCACGATCTTCATGAGAAATGCTCCCTGGTGTTCTGTAAGAAGTGTGCTCAGGGTTTTTCAGGAAGTTGTGCAGGAGCTATGACACAGTGTGGTAATTGCATCTGCTGCTTACACAAATGCACAACTGCCCTGAGAACACTGTTAAACACACACTCCAGTCTCACAAACGTTCAGGGCAAGCGCTTGTCAAAATTCCGCAGCTTCAATGATATCCTTATCTTTTTCATAGGAAATTGGAATGAGGTAAATATTTTCTCAGGATTCCTATCTATTGCATAATATTGAACTGACGTGATTTAGGATTTCACTGCACCTTAAATGGCAGAAATGACTTTTCTTTAAAACTGCCCATTAAGGCATTAGCCCAATCTCTTATGAAAGCATGCCATTCACTGGCTGGCTCCTATGATAATAACAGATATTTCCATATCAGGGACTTACTGGTGCAGTCAGTACTCTTCCCACACACAGTTATGCCAAGAGGCTAGATAGCTGTTTCACATATTTACTTTCTGACAAGAAAAAAACTCAAGTGATTCCTAATAAGCTGTTTCACACAGTTTTATGCCAAAAAAAGGACTTACTTTGTTCTGGAGGACACCATGAACAGAGGGGCTGTGATATGGAAGCTCGGGGATTTCACCAGAAAAACAGTGATGCCACATTATGCGGAGCTTCCTTATAACACCCTCTGCATGAATGGTCCTCAATGTTTCTTCCTCCTCTTCCGCTGACTGTAGTACCAGTTTCAGAATTGACTTTAGAATGGATTCATATAGATGCATTCTATGCCTGATCATGGGGTTTTTGTCGCCCTTTGCCTGTGTAATTGCACCATGAATTCAGGTGATGTGTGATCTCTAGAGAATGTGCACTGAGTGCTTACTAAAGCGGTACTTTTTTACACCTGCACTTCATTATGGTTTCTGACTCATCTTGTGTTACAATTTGCATCTTTTACTTAGGAACGAATTGCAAATAAACCATGTGATATAACCTTATGGCTTAATGGATGTGATTTTAGCGGATTAAGGATCTGTGTCTGGAAGGCTGAGAGTTCGAACCCTGGGCCACGCAGAGTTGGCCCTCAACTCCAACTGCTCCAGGGATGTTGGATGCTGGCTGATTCTGTGCTGTGATTCCAGAAATTTCTCTCGCCTGGATATTGTTGTGTTTCTCTGTCACCCATGAAGATCGAGATGAAATATATAAGAACCACCTATTTTAGAATAGGGCTGCCATTATTCTCTGATTGCCTGAATCTGAAAGGGTTTCGAACATAACTTAAGCTTTTTAATGTATATATTTCAAAGAAATACAGTCTGACTTTTTCTGGATTTATTCAAAATAAAGTAACTATTCAAAAAGTAAATGAAAATTGAAGGTTAGAACTACGCAGGTCTGTTTGTCCTCAAGGGTGATAGTGACAGAAATGGTTCCACAGAGTCACTGCTGTGATACCTAGTTTGCATGCAGAAGTTCCTGGCGTCTAGATTTGCTGAAATCAGCAGCTCTTTTACCCACTGCCTGATGTACAAGAGATTCTCACATGTTAAATACATCTTGGTATGATAATAGTAGTATGAATAAATGTATGGTGTACAGAATTGACTATAATCACACATAATATAATTGTTAAATTTGGGTCTGAGAATGGTTGTTAAGTTTAGTGCTCAGAGTCTGAGTGAGTCTTTTCCAGGAAAAAATTCTCTTCTTGTTTCTTGTCAGTGCAGAAAGAATTTGGTAAAAATTTGTGCAGTCATTAAAAAAAGCCTGAAAAGCACCTAAAAATGACAAACCGTCTTATCAAAAGCAAAAGTAGACAGTGTAAGGTCTTAGTTCATAAACAGGCCTTTCATGTTGCAACAAAGAAGCAGCTTGTGTTAATGAAGCAGACTACAAGGCTTTCAGGAGCTGCGTGACTCTGAGTGTCAAGTATGGCTTGTCCCGCCGTTTAGCCAGCATAGCCCTGTATCTGCGCATCCCCGCACTCAGTCCCAGTGGAATGATGTTGACGGCGAATAACACATGGTTCCCCTTGTTTTTCTGGGGCAGCAGATGGTAAAAAAGACGCAAATTTAGACTGAGCAGTCGCATGCTGAGTCGCTGACTTGGTTGTGGCCTGGTGCTCAGTGATACCTTTTTAAAGACACCTGCTTTATGGAAGTGATACTTAGGTCAGTAAGCTACCTCGGCTGGAGGTAGTGCTGTCACCGTCTGTAAGGTTAGCCTAGGATCACGCTCATTCATTTCACATACTCCCAGCTCCGAGTCATTATATAACTTTCAGTCTTATTTTCTCCCACCCCCAGCCAGAACACCTACACGGCTAACCTGGCACCTATCGCTAGCCCCTTCTGACCTGGTTTTGTCTTCTCGTCTGTGCATCTCCCATATGCTGATGCTGTCCTATTCGCCAGTCTGCTCACAGCAAGATAAAGCATGTCAGTGTAAAGTCACTCCAAAATCCCAGCGCCACAAAGTCATCATGTTTAGATGCACTGAGGTCATTTCTTTTGGACATATAATCCTGAATGTCAGTAAGCTTCACCTGACCTTGGTCTGATGTAGGACTGATTGATTGATATAGCTTTATTGATCCCTCTAGGGTACAATTTCCTTAGTCCAGCAGCAAAGGTATGCAGAAAGGATGGTGATACACATTTAAAAAGATAAAAACAGAGTAAATTAGATCCAGAAACAATAGAATAAAATTAAATAAGAACAGGAGTACAGAGATATTCAGGTATTTCAGGATGACCTTCCAGGAAATACAGGCATGGGTATTCAAATAACTTCAATGTGCCTCAAGGTACGAGCAACTCTGGTACTTAATGACAGTTATTTAATGATAGTTTACAACAGGCAGACCTTAAATTAAAATGAGCTTTATATGTATGAAGGTGTCAGTCTGCCTTGTCTGTACTGCCAATGTAACAGGCTTAAGCAGCCTTGATAGAGGGTTTGTTTTCTTAACGCCGACGCAGATTTGGCACGACATTTCTGCACATACATATGCCGAAGCTTAAATAAACAAATCAGAGGAACAACAAGATCAAAATCAGATATAATGTCATATAATTAATACACGTCATCAAAAATTCACTGTCATTTTTAACCCAACTGCCAGGTCATTTATGTTCTAAACATAAGTTTTCATTGTTTAATATGTTTAATCTTTTTTATTTTTAAATATTTTACCTAGCACAGTGACTCAGTGGATGGGCAAATACAATAAGATTAGGTGTTTATATATAGTCCCTTAGTTACTTATAAATGAATAAGCAGTGCATGAGAAGAACATCTTGACCTGTGCTTGGGAATCATTTGGGAGATGTCCACACACCTTGAGCGCAGATCCAGTGGCTGAGCCATAGCCGGTGACCCAAGTCCCAGCCCGGGTAAGCGGGGAGGTTAAGAGGGAGTCTTATCCAGGAGGAGCGCCAGAGCGGGCGGGCCTCAGTCCTCCCACGGTGAGCCTGAGGAGTATCACAGCGGAGTCACATCTAATTATACACCCATAGAGAGAGAGAGAAAAGAGAGAGAGAGAGAGAGATAGAGAGAGACTGAGGCAGAGAGGAGTAGAAAGTGAGAGGGAGGGAGAGTGAGCTCTCTGTTGGGTGAGTGAGCAGCTGAAAGGGTGAAGGAAAGACAAGAGCGAAAGAGAAGGGGGGAAGGGATAGAAAGAGAGAGAGAGAGAGAGAGAGGGAGAGCAGTCATACTGGCCGAGCAAGCAGAAAGGGAGGGAGGGAGAGACATATAGAGGCTATGTGTATCAGATCTGGATACTCTGATCTACTGTGCCCTCCCTGGCGCCAATGAGGACTCTCTGCTCAGCATGCTTAAGTACTGACCCGCAGAGGTAAGCCACTTTGACTTCTGTACTTATACTCTGTGTGGGTGTATGTCTGTCTGGACACGGGCATGTTTGTCTTAAGAAGAATACCGTGCAAGCGAGTCTTCGTGTGGAAACAGGCAAACTGACTCCTCTCACAGCTGAGCGGTTCCTGGGGCACCGCAGACAGCAGCATAGACGGGCACCGACAGGCACAGGAAGTGAGGCCGTGGACAGTGCAGGTACAGCTGGGAGAATAGGACGGTGATGTGGACAAGAGGACAAGGGACAGGATATTTGAGCAGGGACAGTGACGGATACATGCCATAGTGACATGGTGGGGCCTTGACAGCACTGACAGGATACACAGCAGGTGGCAGAACATACAAGGACACTGACGGTGATGTGGATGTAGGCAGAAACATGGACAACTAGGGGAAAGAGACAGAGAAGAGGCGGAGGTGGTAATCATGCAGGGAGAGGAATGAGGACGTTCACAAGTACAGATATAGGGATGTGAATGTGAGGCGCTCGCACATCGCCTATCAGCGGCAGCATGCGATGGCTGCCAGCACCGCCCCCCTGTCCACCTCCACATCCCAGGGGCTGATTTCCATTCTGACAGGATGGATGTAGCCGAGCCCTCTCCCGCTCTGCACACACTGCCGGCTCACAAGCCATCACCACAACAACAACAGTTTTAGTGATATCAAGATCAAGGGGAAGTGAGCCTTTAATCTGCATACTCTGTACTCAAGGGTAAACCCCATGGAATTTATGAAAAAGACATGGTCAAAACAAACAAACAAGCAAGGCTGCCCCCCCCCACTGTTGTCCTTGGCTGTGAGACCATGGTCAGCAGATATTTGGTGTTTGTTGCATTCTAACTCCTTGTTTCGCATGGTCATAGGTCCCTTTGAGCCGCCTGTCTATTTTAGATCTATTTTATCTATTATAGTTTAAACTGCATGCTGAATGGGAATCCACCTTCGGCTGTGTAAAAATACCTATTTATAACTGTAAGTGATATTGAGAACGCTGCCATCCTTCTGGTCTGACAGAAGCTCAAACAAGCCAACGTCTCTTTGTAGGCAATCCTGAGTAATAACGAAACAAGGCATGATTTAACAACACTTTTTTGGATAGCATTATTTGTCCTGTAACTACAGAATCCCTTCATGTGACATCTATTGAGCTTGATTTTCGCTCACTTAAAGCAAGGTCATCACTTCTCATGGTAGTCAAGTGCTGTAAGTTTCAAAGTCAATAAAACCTATGTCATTTATGTGATGCATTCAAGATGGCTGAACGATGCGTCGAAGTGGCTGCAGTTTCAGTGGCTGGAGATCTGGTTGTAGCAGTAGTATGAGTAATGTGTGGATGCAGTCACCTGTGCGTGTCACTTGAGGTAAGGGTATACTGAGTGTACAAATAAGTAGTACGGTTTAACAATGAAAGGTGTGATTGAGATAGCACAATGAAAGGTGTGATTGAGATAGCACAATGAAAGGTGTGATGCACACCAACCAGTTCTGCCGATGCCTGTCGTTCCTGGTGGCTGAAGTCACACGTGCCACCTAGAAAGCAAATGTTCTGGCAAGATTTTAGGTAATGCTAGTAAAGATGTTGTTGGGGCATTCTGTTCCTGCGTTACTGAGCAAGTATTGGATGGGGCTGTTTGTGACTCTGCGGGACAGGACTTGTGCACTTGGTCACAAAATAGTCTGTTTGAATCCCGTGGCTGTTAGAGTGATCGCAGCATCGGGCCTCTGAGCAAGGACCTTACGCCCCAATCACTCCAGGCAGAGTCTGACCCGGCTTTCTCAAATGTATATCATTTTGGATAAAAGTGTCTGCTAAACAATAAACGTAAATATCTGTGGTAGTAAAATGGAAGACAACCTAGAGAGAACATTTTAATGAGCAGCTCTGTCCTGGTGATATTGTGGTAAGAGATGTGTGAGGACACATCTCTCCGAGGTGCCAGGGCGGTGGACATGGGCACAGCGGAGTCTCGTCGACAAGCCCTGTGGCTTTTTGGCTGGGGACTTTGGCTTGGCTTGGCAGGGTGACACTTTCTCCAAGGTGGTCGCTGTTGTTCGTTTCCATAACAAAGCCCCCCCCCCCCCACCCCCACCCCAAACTCGACGAGGATTCACTGTGCCTTTATCTGGTTTATTTTTGCAGAAGCTCGCTGTTGCACGCTGGGATGATGTGTAAATGAGTCAGTGGGTGTTTCTGGTTTTTGTAGGGATGCGGAGGACAGCGGGGGGGCTCTGTCCCTGATGAGAATGGCTGGTTCCTCCTGCAGGCTGGGTGACTGGGGCCGAGCTCACACTGTCTATGACATTAGCACTCTGTGGCAGATTTTTAAAATTCCAATTAGCTTAGAATTCGAGCAGCTATAGCCTTCTGATCATTTGTATAAGTGACTTAGTGAGACAATCTCCAGATTATACTGATTTTCCTATAGGTAAGGTGCCCAGCTGTATACACTGCCAAAATATCTATGGAGCTGACTATGAACCGTGACTTCCATAAATCTGTGATGTAAACAGATGTCATTGGTCTGCCTTCCATACAATATACTGTCGGCAGGATTTGTAAGTATATCTCTGTGCCTGATACATGTGAGCTTAGTGCCAGAGAACAGGGTCAGCTGTTTATCCATTTTTTGGGGGCTACTCAATAGCCCAACAGTTATCACTCCTTACGCTATGAGATTAAAACCAGCAACTTGTCTATCAAAGGCACAGCCGCCTAACCTACAGAGCCACATACCAAAAATATGTAGATGCTATGTGTTCCCTGAGCAGGAACAAAAGCCAGGCTGTGGCAATGAGAGCACCAGCTCCTGATGACAAGATCATGAGGGAAGAGGTTGGGAGCAAGGCAGGGAACTGAAGAGGGAGGGTTAGCTATGCAAGCTCAGAGTTTGAGCAGGAGGGTCTACCATGTATTCAGAGTGGAAAGGTTGGGTTCCGAAAGTACAAATCCAGATTTTGTTTCAACCAACCAAGTTGAGTACAAAGAGTCACCGTCACACAGTACTTTTACATGCACGGCTAAGTCAAGCTACGGCTATAGCTCAACTACACCATTTAATCGGACTACTGTCCTTATCCCAGTATACATGCACGGGAGGGGAATTGATTTATTGACTGAAGTATGTCCGACTCTGCTATGATAGGTGGCAATATGGCTCCTTTCAGCTTGTCAGTATTGGGCTTTTCCGGTTCACCTATTACATCACTGACATAAAATAATAACAAAATTAATAGTAATGGATACGAGGACAAATGAAGTGACAGAAGTTTTAATTGAGATCTGGTCGGTAGAACATATACAAGAAGATCTGGATAGCATAATAAAGTATTTTGTATAATACACTATGACAGTACGGTATTTTAAATTTTCAAATACTGCAATGTAATTTTGTCGTAATAAATATCGGGGTACTTATGAAACAAAAAAAGGAGTTTAACATACATTTCTCATGAACCTGTCTAGGAGGTAAATTTTAAAGTGATTTTTATACATATACTAGATGAACTTGAAAAACAAATGATCATTAAAATTGCAAAACTTGCTAAGTTTTTTCCCTATGACAGAGTTAAAAATGTTTTGACGAGATTTAAACTGCCTGTGCTATAATATCCATACCAAATTCAAGGAAAGAAAAAACCTGATCTTAATCTAGCTGACTAGTGATTGGATGTGCATGACATGTTATGTTCGTATTAATATTGCACATCATCCAGCACTATAATATACTACAGTATAATATACTACATTTCTCAAATTCAGTACAAAATACCCCGCCTTGCGTTGTGATGTCATTTGGTGCCAGTACCAGTTTTTATGCCAGTGGAAAACAAACACCTTGAACTATTGTACTTTTGGTACCTTCTTGAAGTACCAAAAGTACGGCACTTGGTGCGGTGGAAAAGCGTCCTTTAGTTGAGCGGTGAATCGGACAGTTTTATAGTGCTGTAAATTTTGCTGTACATCCTCCATGCTTCTTCGGTGTAATGGCTTCTTCTGTCAAAGCTCGGGGGAGAAACTGTGGAGCATTTGCAGAGAGCCTAGGCCAGATTGAGTCAAATTGAACGTATATATGCAGGAGTAAATTGACTTCCAATCACACTATCTGGGTATCTTAGTCTGACTTTGAGAAATTCGATTTAGTGCTATTTCAGCTGGAGTAACATGTTTACTTGTACTTTAAAAGTCGGGTTTTAGTCAGACTAACACAATCATTCAGTTTTCTCAGTGTGCATGTAAACGTACTGACAGAATACTCAACTGGTTGGTTTGAACAAAATCTTAGTCTGGATTTGTACTTTCTGGATTTGAAGTTTCCACCTCTGAATGTATTGTACAAGACGGATGTGATATATTCTTGGGATAAAGGCTGAGGGTCAAAGAATGTATTATTGACTCTTAGGCCTCGATTTCTCTCCATAAGGCCAGCATAGCGCCTAAACAGTGCAACCAATAAAGATGCTTAAATAGAAATGGGCGCTACACACTCTAGATACAATTTAGCCTTTCAATAAGCCTTGGCATATGTTTTGAGCTTCAGTAGAGTCTTATGGTTGGAAATCAAGGCCTTTGTGTTGGTGAATTGTTTTCCAGTGTTTTCACATAGACACATCAAATGTTACAGTAACATGACCTAAATGTGATGTCATTCTAATTCTAACTTAACTAGGGTGGAGCAACATACGATGCTCTCAGGTAACGTGTTACTGGTAGCACCTTCTGTTTCAGGGCCTATGGCCCTCAAATGGACTAATGTCTTTGGAATGCCAGGGAGGTGAACTTTGGCACGTCGGTGGACAAGCATTTCAGTGACCTCTCTCAGCGCCTTATGAGTAGGGCCACAGAAGAGACAGAGAGCGCATAGCACGTGGTAGAGAAAGCCAAGAGCTTTTTCAGATGTATTTTATGTATGTATGTGTGTGGGTATGCAATGAGTATGCTGGAAATTCAAGCTGAACACCCAGGACGAGGCTATGAACTCAAAGGAAACATTTGGGAAATCGCACCCACTCATTAGCTCATTAGCTACATGACGGCAAACTGGCGGGATGCTCTGTTAAATAAATGTGGCCTTCATTCATCATGGGCTGCTTGTCTGGATCACCTTTAGCCAGCTTTAATACCTATGGGACACTGGTGGCCGGGTTCCACCTGAAGGACCAGCAGAGTGCAGCTCCTCGTTCTCTGCAGGCCTGGTGGTCGAAGTTCGTGCAAGAAGCCAAACAAAGCAGCTAAGGGTGCAAAGTAGGTCACACTTTTAACAGCACCTGGAATCCAGCTTTAGTGAGCATTTCTCACCTATTTATACCCCAGGGCCAGAGTGCAGACCCCGACCGTTGTGTAGGACTGTTAGTATCTTCCTCCAGGGTGATTGTGTGGTAGGGTGTGGTTAGGGTGAGACAGAGTGGAGTGAGGCAGGGTGGGGTGAGGCGTTGGTTCTGGAATTAGCAGCATTAAAAGCTTAATACCCCCTTTTGTTGCCTTTCGTTCGGTTTCCCATGGGAATGATGTTTGAACACCTCGTGGATGATGATGAAACTTACAGCCAATTAATAGTTACCCTGCATTTTTACGTACTGAGCCTGGAACCTCGTCATGGTACGCTTCAGTAATCAGGCGGAAAGCACAGAATAACACAGACTGGATAACATTTAAACGAAAGCAGGCGATCCTTTTTTCCATTCATGAACCTGGAGCACTATTCTGTAACGACTTAATCTTTCACCTGGAGAGGGGGCCGTTTCTCAGCAGATAGACTTGTTGTGCTGTGTATTCTGTAGTAGTTAGTAGTATCTTTTTATAGAGCACATTTCTGGTTTGAACATCAAACTGAATACTGTGACAGTAAGTGGACCAAATTAAAAATACATTTTTGGGTGCTATGTGTCTTATATTCATCCGGCAGAAAATTTTCTTACTTGTCTGTTTAAGTGACAAGAAGTATTGATACAAACACAAAGTCCGGATGAGCAACGACAATCTCTAAAAGCTGTACTTTAAAAAATAATCCAAGCATCACATATATATTAAGTATGTATAGATTAAAATGTGCATGTTCAAAATCACAGGGATGAGCAGTGCATCGCCCCCATAATAATGAACCTTTTATTTGCCATCTAGACTGTCCTCTTCACTGACATTAGCTCGCTTTGCCTGGTTTGACAGTTTAGCAGCTGAACACTGAGTATCACTGACAACTTTATGCAATAGTGGTTATATTCAGCTGCTGGGGCTCGATATGTCTACTTTAATTAAACTTTAATAAACTTGCAATACATACTATTTTCTGTAACTAGGGTCCTACGTGTTTTGGCATTAGATACAGTACAAACATATAAACATATACAACATAACATAAGAATATTTAGCGATCGCTTTTTTGTTTGCGTAAAAAAACCAGCGATTTATATGATTCACATGACTAGCATTTAGACGGCTGTATAAAAGTCATGTATTACATTTGCTGGCTGCATGAAATGAACTTGCAGAATAAACACGTCTGAGTGTGTGCGGTTCGAGGGGCAGTTTTGGTTTGAGTCAGCAGCAGCCCTGCTCCTAATACCGTGACTGCGAGCTCGTTTTGGTGTGTGCACGAGCGTGTAGGTGGGTGTGTGTTTGTGTATGCATGTACATACACATGGGTACTTGTGGTGGCGGCGTGCCTTGCAATGAGCAGCAGATTCTTGACAGATTTGACATCGCAAATGCGCTGAGAAGCGAAAAGCTTCAGAGAGCCAGCGGGTTAGTCGGTAGCCTCGCTCCTGCGACCTTTTTGGAGATACACGTTATTATTCGAACATATTCTCGAGGATGCTGTGTTTGCGAGGCAGTGGTGAAGGTATTTCTATGTCTACCCTCCTTTTAAAGTTGATAATTTAATGCTGTAGCTGCTGTATTGAATGGCATTTCCTCTTTACTGTTGCCTTTTTTAATGCAGTGCGTAGAGGTTCAGGATCTGTGAGCCCACTTTGCAGTTTTGTGTGTTTCCTCACCAGCGAAGGAGCTCATGACCTTTGTCTCGTACAACACAACTGCACAGGTCTGGCGTCAGTGTCTTTTCTAAAGTGCTTTTTTATTTTAAAAAATTATATGAATTTAAAAAAACTAAACTTAAACACAATAGATGATGTTGTAGATGTGAATTACATGCATTAATTTTCTTTTTTATTCCTTCTGCTTTTAAACCATTCAGTTCACCATTAAACCATTAGGCCTACCTATTTAACCATTCAACCATTCAGTTCACAATTGCTGCTGTTTGTTGTAAACATAGTGCTGCTCGTTCAAACAAATTGCAATTAAGTGATTTAGGTACAGTTCAAAACTAATATATGTTGGAACAAAATCATACTAATGAAAAAGAGAAGCATCCTGCGGTGCAGTGGTCCTAAGATTTTGCTGAAAGACATTCCAAGATGACATTTTAGTGTGTCCCTCGTTTTAAACTAATAATTCAGTACAAAACATGCCCAGTTCTAAACAGGTGAACTTATTAACTGGGATGAATGAAATGTCCAGAGACATGTAAGCTCTGCTTACATTCATTGATTCAGGAAATGCTTTTATCCGAAGCAACGTAAAAGTGAGAAAGTAGGATCAGCCAATCCTTGGAGCAAGGAGGGTTACAAGCCTTATTCAAGGGCACAATGGTGACATCACTCTGCTAACCACGGGATTAGAACTGGCGTGGTCTTGATCATGGGCATAGAGTCCTAACCTGCACAGCCACAAACCAACTCTGAGTGACATAGTTTATTATGTGTTTACGGTATTTATCCAAAACATTTTGCACAGGTAATCCTCTTTGTTTGTATAGCTGTTACTGGAATAATTTATATTGAGTGCTTTAATCAAGAACACAACATTAGTTACTTTCCTGGAACTTGAACCTATAAACTTGTCATAACCAGTCATTACATATACTAGGAGTATTGTATAAGCTAGTTACATATGTCGCTATACCGATGTTAATATTACTATCCAGTGTCATTGATTCAAGGAGCCTTTCCATTTAGATTCACTGTGGAAACATTTGCAATTATGTCAGGTAACTCTGTCACACTGTCAGTGTGCTGTCTGCCACTGGCACAGTGCCATCGCATTCGCAAATGATTCACAGGTAGTGTAGCACTTCAGGGCTTAGTGACTGACGACCTCATGCCAGAACTTGTTTAGAATCTAACTCCCTTTTGTCAAAAGGTATAATTTAGCTACACCGCTGCTGGGAATTATTCTTAGGTGCCAAGTATTGTGCGGTCAAGTGTGTTATTCAGTCTGTGGATTACAGGGATTTGAAGACTTTCCGAAGTGTGAATAAATATTGGCAGTTCAAACATTTCTTTTGGCAAAGATTTTGTGATACCACCTTCGGATTAATGAGGAAGAGGTTGGGAAGGTCATGGACTCCCACTAACAGCGTTCCTGGGAAAGATACCAAACTGTAATTATTTTAGGAAGTGCCTGGTATTCACAGATAAAACACAGGCACTAATTATCTTCGCAACACTGCATTTTTTCAAGGACTTATGGCTGTTTTGTGTTAGTTTTCATTCATGTCGCTTGAAGTTTCTAAGAACAGCTTACACTAATGTTTTTGGGCCACACCTATGCAAAAAATGCGACCTGATGAACAGGTTTTACTCCAAAGTAATTCAGCTGTAGCTGTTTACACCACGTTGCATCTCTTCCTAGGTTGTGATGCCCTAATGGGGAAATCCGCATCCTACCAAGCAGGTACAGTGCCTTCAAACACAATATACCTGCAACACTTAGAATCTCAAGCAGCAGAGGTATGATAGAGGATTCCTGTAATACACCTCACCCTATAGTCTCAAGCAGCAGAGGCAGCATGTAGGATCAGTATATTGGCTTGTCACTTGGGTAGTACCCTGCCCTTGCTTATGGTCCTAATTAGGAGGCAAATGTTTTAATCGAACTGCTTTTATGGGTGACATTCTTTCGTTTGTTTAATAGCAAGTCAGTGATCTGCGCTCCAATTTAACTGGGAACTGGGAGTAGGAGGGTGGGTAAAAAATGATATGAACTATAAGTCAAAATCCACATCTGCGTGTTGACAGTATAATCCACTTTCTATATGCATCTACATACATTTACACTTGCACCATGCATCAGATACCTTTTTTTCTCACTTTATTTATATAGTTCTGTTCTGGCAGAAAATAACACCATTGCAAGGTGTACAGAATGCACCGTATGATCTGAATTTCCTTTGCATCTCTTTGCACCCATGACAAGCAGCACAATAAAATTTGGAGAAGCTTGGGCTGGCTTGTCTCTGAATAAGAGGGAACAGCTGCTTGAGAAGCACTGACTTCAATACACTTGTCAGATCATCAACCTTAGGAGGCTTTTTAGATACGGGAGGTTGGAAGTGATATTTTGAGGCCAGGTTGGGGTTCAGCAACTATCTGCAGCTTGATGGGTCCTGTTTGATTCAGGAAGTTCCAGTCTTGGCCTTCATGTGGCATAGGACTAGTTATACAGCAATTCTCCTGAGAGGTGACAAGAAAAAGTAAACAGAGAAACAGTGATAATACAGGAAGCAATGGAGGAATGCAACAAAGCTTAATGAATCTGCATGTGGATAAGGGTTATGACAGATCAGTGGGTGATAATGCTAAATGCTTATGGATGGTTACCTTTTATGTTTATATGTGCTCTATTACTCCTTCTTTTTCAGCGAGTGACTTCGTATTCAGAGGAAAGCGGCCAATGACCTTTCTTTCACAATGTCACGGCAGATAAGAGTCGCCCTTCTGCATCCGTGCTTCCAGGAAGCACATGTGACCTAAGTGTCCACAGTCCCTCCCCCGGGGTGCACAGATGAACCGCCCTCCCAGCCCAGGTACAGAGCGCCTCCCTCCAAAGAAGAGGGAACCTAGGGAGAGGCCGGCAGAGGCCAGCTCCACCGACCACTGCTTCAAGGTGCCTGCACCCTACAGTGCACCCATCAGGGGGAAATCCAGCAGGCAGCCCGACTCCTATGCTGAATACCTTCCCCTGGCCCCTCCCCTGACACCAACCAACTTCCCAGTACCCTGGTACATGTCTTGTCCCATGATGGCACCAAACCCCTTTCCCTTTGACCAAGATGGCTTGTCTTCATGGAGAGAGCAGAATTCTGGGACCAGGCACCCGATCCATCCCAGACAGCCACAGTCCAGGTGGCCTCATGCTCCAGCAGCACGCCCTCTAACTGGCTCCGCCTCCCATGGCATGGAATACCCTTTCAGTGATCCATTTGCTCATTCGGACCACAGGGTGACATCACCTCTCAGGGTCCTGCCTTTAAATAGTGAGAAATACTTTTCAGAGTGGAGGCCCAATGGTTTCCCTTGGAGGGAAGCTTGGAGTGAGGTCAATCAGCCATGCAAAGCAGGCCAGCTGGGTTCTCTGGCTAACAGTGAGAGGGCACTTCTCATCAGCCAAGGTGGGCCAGCTCAGGACTGCCCCACCGCAAGCCTCCAAGACTCATCTTCTTTGCAACATGACAAGGACCCCCAGGTACAGTTCAGCACTGCCTCCCTTAGAAGGGAACCCAGTACTGCTGAAGACAATCATAACTCCCGTAGGCTGGTGCATGTATCACAAAAGCCACCCCAGAAGGCTGCTGAGCCAAGCCCCCAAGTCATAACACCGCATAGACTTGCAGGACTATCCCCTGCTATCCATTCTCGGGACCTTCAGGATGAGCGCTTGCAGCTGGCCAGGGCTGGAGACGGGCAAGAAACAAAGCAATGGTGCAAACCCAGGGATGCTAGCGGGGAGCTGCACCTATCCAAGGCCCCGTCCCCCTTTGCAGGTGGTTCTCTTGTGGAACTAAGTGGTGGGAGACTGAAAAGGGTGGAGGAGCTGCAGACAGAGGACTTCCTGTTGTCGGGGAGCCCGAGGCCTGGGCTGTGCCTGAGCTCCTGCACAGTGCTGGGCATCAGCCCCAGTGTGACTCCAGGGTACATGCATCTGCAGGTCCACCTAACCGACCACCTGACTCAGGTAAACTGTGATGACACCCACACATCACCAGGGTACATCATGTGTTTTTTTGTGCTCCTCGGGTGTTGGTTTAAATAATTTAGCACTCAAGCGTCAGTTCATGACACGAAAAAAATGTTCAAACTGTGCAGTTGTACTTCATTTAATTTAAACTTTCGCAGGAGTTTTCAGTTAGCGTTTCAATGCATGCAAAAGAACCAATGGCTATTTGTGTAGCATCTTTTCTCATTTTTTTATAGATGACCCTAATTCTCATCTATATGTGTTCTGAAGGACACTGTGACGGGGTGCGTGTCTGTGTGTTTCCCCAGGAGTTACTGGAAGTCTTGCTGGAGTATCCATTCTTCGTATGTGAACGGGGCTGGTCCTCTTGTGACCCTCAGAAAACAGCCTGTCTGTATGGGCTCCGCTGCCGGCAGCTTGCTATTGGGGATGTGTGCTTCGCCCTCACACCTGCCCCGACCAAAACGCCGCCCTCGGCAGAGCCCACCAAGAGCCCCCCAAGCCCAGACACATGTGCAGCACAGCCCCGGAAAAGGCACTGGTCAGCCCCAGATGTCTTTGGAGAGGACAGGTCTCTGGTAGGTTCGCCTCAGAACTCAAAGCACAGGAAGAAGCAGTAGTTAAACTCACATTTCATCTCCAACAAGCCCTTCTCTCAAGCACTGCCACTGGGCATGAAAGATCTGTCTCTGTCTACTTCCCTCACTCTTTGCACAGGACTAGATTGTCTCTTTCGATCCTCCACTGTTTATGCGTGCAGGTAAGGCGACGCGGGCCAGAAGCGCACTGCAAACTCAGGATTAAAGCCTGCAGGCAGGGCGCTGTTCTTAGAATGTATCATGTTGTATTGCCAAGGAAGCAGCTCTTTGCACATGACAGGAAGCAGCAGGGGGGTGGCAGTGGTGCAGGCCAGCCAGCAATGGTGTTCTTCTAGGATCAAATTTACTCTGTTAGAGGTATCAATGAAGTGTTTGATATGTGATCTATATTTGTAATCTATATTAAAAATGTTACTGAAGTCATACAGAAATGTAAAAGTGATTTATTTATGTTCACATCACTGTTTTTATGGTCACTATAGTTGTTTTTAGCCAAAAGCGCTGAGATGAATTTATACTGCGATATCGTCGCGTGCGTAACGCAGTTGTAATAATGCGCAATATTTCCTCTCCCATTTTCCACAATGAAGCTAACGGTACGGAAGAGGATTAGGGCCACCATGAAAATATTATTTGAATTCTGACTTTAATCTCAGAATTCTGAGTTTAGAAAAAAAAGTCAGAATTCTGAGATTAAAGTCAGAATTCTGAGAAAAAAAAAGTCAGAATTCTGAGATTAAAGTCAGAATTCTGAGAAAAAAAGTCAGAATTCAAATAATATTTTCATGGTGGCCATAATCCTCTTCCGTATAAAGGAGAAAGAAGAAGCAATCGCTTTTTGTCTTCTAATGAAAGTGTAGCATTGGCTGATGCGCGGTTAGCCTCAGTTACGGTGCCGATCCAGGTTTAGTGCGCAGTCGCTACTTTCATGAGCCGTTTTGTGCTCGCGTGGATCAAGGGAAATAAGCGTGGAATTCAGGGATGGGAGTCCCCAGTGGACTCGAAAGAACTTTTTAGTAATGTGCACTGGGAAAATGCTATTTTTCATTTGAAAAATGAAATTGTATATTTTTAAACAATGGAACTGTGTAACTGTGTTCGAAATAAATAAACTTTTAAATACCAGACGTGTATCGGTTTTCAGTATTCTACCTAGTGAATAGTAGTAACATTAAAAATACAGTAAGACCTCAGACTTGACGTTACATACGTAGATTTTGCTGTGTGTGCGGAGTTTGTCCGCACCCGTGTCGCATGGCTTTCCCCTTCGTGCCCTGCGACTGGCGCCTGCAAATTCCCAGGAGTGTATCATTGTGGTTCTAAATGTGTGTGGACCGCAGAACCGGAGGCTGGGACCCGACACGTGCCCGGGAAACTTTTGGAGCATCATTAATAATGTAATAATGAACAATCCAGAAAAAATCACCTACTAATAATTTAATGCAAACCGATAAAACTTTATTAACGAAGGTCCGAATTATATCAGTGTTTTTCTTTTAGCAAAATGATTGCTTTAATTAAAGAGGTACTGATTACTCATTGAGTGTTGCGATTTGATATCTGCCAATCAATTTTTGCATTTTTAGACTGATATTTGATGTTACGTCTTCAGTAGCATTAGCAACATCACAGCATGCATGTGTATTGTGATGTGAGCAGGCTAAGACGCTTGAAAAAATGAAGAATCAGAAGCTAGGTTATAACAGAATTATTAAAAAACAAATACACAAGTATACATGACTTTACGGATGCCCCCATGCTATCCGGAATAGGCTCCAGATTTCGACCATAACCCTGACTAAGCGGTTAGAAGATGCATGGATGGGTGGACAGACGCATGGATGGATGGATGCGGAAGTATCCAAAAGTGAGTTGAAACGGTATTTGCTTGTACTTTTTACCTGTTTCATTATGATGATGGGCAGCTTTGGTAATACATTACTTGGACCACAAGGGGGAAGTCTTTTCACACGTAAAACTGTGAAATGGAACTGAAATTTAATTACCTTACACATTGGGTACTGAACACCACAAATACTCCATTATTTACGAAATACACTTAATTATATTTTAATCACCCAAACGACTGTGGCTGGTTTTATTGTGTAGCGGTTATCACATCTCTTTGGACTTTTGGACTCTTTGGAAACTCTTTGGAGTTTCGGATTCGAGACCCAGAAGAATTAATCTTACTTTCAAATGTGATTTCCAGTTTATTAAATCAATCATATGCGTCGTCAGTAAAAACTGTTTTCTTGGAAGAATTGCTTACCAACTCATTAACTCGTTAGCATGCGCTGCATAGGACACATCTGCTAGAGACAACTGCATTTAAACCTATGGTGGTACAGTATTGCAAATATAGATAATTATTCATCTGAAATCTCAAATATGGGAATCATCATTTTCATTCTTGTCTTTTTCCCCGAAATATAGCATTTAATGGACGTAACACTAGAGTTAAAAAAACAAGGCATTATTATAGAGTAACCAGCCTGACTAGAGTGAGAAGCTAAACCAGTATGACATTGCTGTGGGGCTACAGGGTGTTGATTTGTGGCTGCTACTTCATTTTGGATTGCACAGCCACCTCAGGCATTGAGAGATATAAGATAAACATGTTGATAACAATGTTTATTAGTTATTTTTTCAAGTGACGATTCCGCAATCCTAAATCTGAAAGACATCTGCATGAAAGATCAAAGCTCGGTAAAATATATATAATGCCGAAATTTCATAATTATTACACTCATTTATATTGTCACATTGTATAAAAATAATTTGTACTAATGTATTCATATTTACATTGATGTAATTATAAAATAAATTCACAGTATCTTGCATTTCCCACTAAAATGAATAATTTCTTGATCTTCTCCTCAAACATTAAAACTACCCTGCAGACTCAGAAGTGTACACTGAATGGAGATACTGTAGCCGAGCTATAACCCAGGTAGGGTTTAGCTATAACTCTCGAGCTCTGAATTGAACAGAACAAGTAGGAAATATGATATATTTGTGCCCAGTTGATGCTGGAAAACCACATCACAGTTACTCTCAAAGTGCTGTGATAGTGTGGTTTTATGCGCTGCAATAAGATGTATACTTGACTAGGTGACAGAAGTCGGCATTAATTAGTTGATACTTTAGGAACAACTTTTCATCGGGGACGTGGGATGATGAGTAGGTGAGGTTTCTGAGGCTGTTAGGACCTGCACTCATCAGGTGGGGAAGCTGCCATGTCAGCAGCTTCACTGCAGGCTACCATCCACGCAGCTCTTAAGCTCCCGTAGACCAAGGTCCACCTCCACCCCTGAGCTCTGCTGCTGCACGCTGGCCAGGAGCTTCTTGGCAAACAGCGGCTCCACCTGCAGGAAAGAGCAGAGCTCAATAAGACGGCATGCTCAGAAAGACAGCAGGTGGCATTAAGGATGAAGATTTACATCCATCTGTTGCAGAGGGGCCTGGATCCAATGCCAGCAAGCCAAGGACAACCTAAGCAGGATGTCAGTCTATCACAGGGCATGTTCTCACGCAACAGCCACAAGCTAAGGGCAACGCAGAGACACAAATTTGCCTAACTGCATGTTTTTGGATTACTCAATCTTACGCAAGGAGAGCATGCATAAATGTATACGACTCTTGGTTAAAACACAAAAGCTAATACTTAACCAGGATGGTCAGTTTTTCTTTGGCAGAATTACAAGGGACATTAGAAAAATCTGTGTTCTGGCGCAAGGAATTGAGTAGGCAGCCAGGGAATTATTACGGCTAATTCTGTGTTGTCTTTTCTAGCCCAATGGTTTAGACCACCTGCCTTGGCTGATTTATTGGATTTACATCCACTGCCCTCCAGTTTACAACATTACATTCTTTTGCCTTACATACATGCATCTGGTTCCCTTTACTCAATGAAAAAAAGTGAATGTTGTTCCATTTTACGTGTCAGGACATACATAACTTTTGACAGTTTTAATGTTTAGTAATATAACCTGTACAATAGATAAAATGAACTTGTGTTGATAATTATTATGTGCATTTTCAGCATTCATGTGAAGACTGACAAAGAGAGCCGTTTCATAATAAGATCAGATAAACTTTATTGCGTCCAGCAGGGAATTCTTGAAAGCGTTTGTAATCTACATTTCATGTTTTTGTATTTGACACAAGCAGCGGCTAAACAGACTTGTGCAGATGAAATTCATTTACAAAATGACAGTCTTTTGAGGTTTTTGCTCACTTTTTAAAGGTTGCAAGCGCAGTATGAAAAATTGTATTTAAGATGCTCTGTGGCACTTTAAGAAAAATCATCCTAATGAGTCTCTCTGTTTTTATTAGGTTCTTGGCTCATGCACACACACACACACACACACGCACAAATGCGACAAAAGCAGGCACAAAGAAAAAATATAAACATGCAAAGTAAATGGGAGATACTGAGAGCACTACACAGAACAGCAAATGTTAACATGTATCTGCAGAGGTTAACCAGACAGGCGCGGAATATGAGGTACTCACTCAGGTACTTGGGTACTCGGATACTCGAGGTACTCACTCGGGCTGTGATGAGCTTCTGGCCAGGGCTCTTGTCCGCCTCTGGGAATTCCTCCCCAAAACACAAGTCAACCTTGTAAGAGGGCCTAGGACCACCTTCCCGAAAAAACCTATCCAGCTCTGAAGAAGGGACAGAGAAAAGAGTGGTGCAGAGACACATGTGCAAACCTGCGAATGTGGTCCAGAGGTCTACACCCCAAACCCCCATCCACTCACCCCAGCGTAGGACATGTAAAAAAATATCTGTGGGGCAACTTTTGCCCCCACGGTCTAAAAAATGGGGACATTTACAAAATTTTGGGGGCACTTTTTAACAATAGTAATTAATGCATAAATGTTCTGTTTTTAATGCAAAATGAGACCAAATTAAAATACATATAATATAATGACCACCTTAAAATGACCACCTTATGCCAACATATGTAAATAAAAATTGCTGTTACAAAGAGAAGTATGCAATCATCTGTATGTCAGGGAAAGGACATACAGCTCTTAATAGCTGATGTATATATGTACTGTATAATGCATGGTTTATAGATAAAGTAAAAACTTCATCACAGTCTTTCAAATGAACTAGTTTACGGCCTTTTCTAAACAAGCTGTTTAGAAACTGTTGAAGATCTATTAAAAATATTTGGGAAAATGAAAGGCAGTGTTTTACAACTATTGATGCAAACCGGTCTGTGCAACAAAATGATAAAGAAATACTGCAAATTACAGTATTTTAAACCTATTCAGCAAATTTTAAGTACTAATTTTTTCTTTGCCCCCCTCTTTGGTTAATTGTCTTCTTGATTCACACCTGCTTTTTGTTAGTCCTCATCAGCCATGAGATGCTCACCAAATGGGGGTATGTTCCCCAAAAGCTCATGTTAGCAATTTACATTGTTGGACCTATTTTTTTTTTTTTTAAATCTTGGGAACAATTTCTGCCCGTCAGTCACAGTTTTTAGGGCCATTCTGAGATTTCCTGGGCCATTTTTGCCCATTGCCCCTTATTTCTGACACCCGCATAACCATGATCGCATCCCTCACACCTTCCCATCTCCTGCCTCCTCCTGACCTACCTCTCAGAAGAAGAGCCATGTCCAGCAGCTTGCAGGTCCTCTCGCGCTCCAGCTTGTTGGGCCGGTCACGCCACTGGGCCAGGGGCCCGTCCCAGTACACGCGGCCCTGACAGAACCTCTTGGCGAACATGCCGTCGTGAGCCATCCAGAGCAGCACGCCGCGCTGCAGGTGGGGCAGGAGGCGCGTCATGGCCCCCGCCGCTGTGGGGGAGGCGCAGGTCTGTGTGGGAGATGGGAAGCAGACCGGCTCCACTGCACTTGGCCCATAGATGTGCTCGTTCTCCGTCGGGAGCAGGCCGTGAAGGATGCGGCAGCCCTCCGGTGTGCTGGTGCTGAAGTCCTGCACCAGGTGGCCCTGATAGAACAGCCGCACCTGCAGGCGGAAGTCTGGGCCACAGAAGGCACAGCGACGCATGTCACTGCTCCATCAACAGGTGGCACACTGCTCTTATGGTTAAAAGCTTTCAAGTTCGAATCACAGAGCATAATATGCAATATGAACTGGAAAAAACAGCTAAGATTGAAATCTACATACATTTTTATAAGAACCTCTTTTACAATAAACTTGTAGTGGCAGCCATCTATCCATTTGAATATCTTTTCCCCTCTTAGTGATCTAGATATTATAGGCAATGTCTCCCATTCATAACAACATATACAAAAAATACAAACGCCAAGCCAGTGTAACTAATGGTTACAGTCTGACACACAGCCCTACAGATAGCAGTATTTCCTAATCATGGAAACAGGGAAACCAGAAAATGGCTTTGTATATAGATATGCTCGTCTGTGTCATTTATGTGGCATATTTCATAATATGTGCAATACCTATGTTTTAGTTTTATGTACTGCAGCTGCATTTCTGGTGCAGGTCTGGTGTAGGTTGGAGTTTCAGGGGTCTGAGTTCAAGTGGGGTTGTGGTACCTGTGATCTGGACAGCTTCTGGGAAGGCAACATGCAGCATGGAGATGAGGCCTTTAGAATCTGTCTCTCTGCATGTCGTCATTAAGCAAAATTCCTCCGTGGTGTTTCCCTCTAAAGAACATCCAACAATGGAAGAAAGAGAATCCTTTCAACTGTATCAAGGCAAAATGTCATGTATAGCTCATCTTCAAGGGTACAACAGCAATTTACAATCCATTATGGCCCCATTGCCTGATGTCATCCATTGACATCCATTACTTTTATAATGCCGAATCTTGCTGGTTAAATTTTAACTTCTTTTCATAGCTCACATTATTCATGCTGCCAGCCCGTCAGTCAGGTGATTCCTGGCTCAGTCCAGACTACATACTAAACCCACAGGTACCACAGACGTTTCCCATTTACAGCCTGAACCCATGACCAGAATTTAGAGTTCATTTACAGGTGGCTTTTCTTCCTGTCAAATTAGGCTGCAATGTTGATGAAACAGGAATATCTGTGCACAGTAAACCTATCAGTGTTTTCAAGGCATATTTTAACTCCGATAATGGAGCATACAGCCACCTGTATGGTACAATGAAGTAACCCGAGTGAAATTCAGCACTCATTCTTTTTTAGAGCTTCCCATTATTGTTTCATTCTGCAAAGGCGCAGTTCCACACTTGCCAATTTAAACTGACGCTTTCCGTTCTCAAGGAAACATTTTGTTATTTCTCTGTTTCTTTTTAAAATAACTTTCAGTGGCCCGTAAGAAGAATTTCAAAACTTTGTCACCATGACAGGGGGGAGGAGCATCCCTTATCAGGGCGGGGCGGGCGGGCAGCACTGACCGTAGCTTACGGGGGCGGCCTTGTCTGTCGGGCAGGACGCAGCCTGTTGCTGAATGCTGCACGCCTGCCTCTTTGCCTGCTCTCCGTTCTCCACTTTTCCAAAACTCAGCTATATATGTGAATAACGAAGCATAGAAACAAGCACAGTGTGAAGGAAACACAACAACAGAGAATATTACTGTCATAGCCCATACAGAAATTAAATATATTGCAATATATTTGAATTTATGTTGTCGAAGTAAAAAATGTATTTAAAAATATATTTTAAGCAATATATTCACATACCATATATTTCTCAAATATATGTGAAATATATGATTGTAAATACATCGATTCATATACTATAGGCCAATACATTGCTTATATATATTCCCAAATATATTTAAATCAATTAGGTTGTTTTAAATTTCATTTATTAATTTATGTAGCTTATGTGACAATTAGAACAAACAAATACATACAGCGCAGTGGTGGCCTCAAGTTTAAGGATTTGGGCTGGTGTTGTGTTCATTTGAAGGCAGTTTA